AGCCTTTGGCTGAGAGTGAGTACAGCTTTGTGGTTCCCCTGCTTCTGACATGATTTGGTGCTCCCATATATTTGTAGGGTGGTTTTGTTTTCATTAGAGCTTGTTTTGCTATAGGGGTGCTTAACGCTATTCTCAAACGGCTTTTGCAAGGTTAAAGGAATGCAGCTTGGTAACAAGTTTGTGTCATTTTAAATATATACCTTCCAGTAAATAAGGAGGAGCCTTGCAATCAATCCCTTTTAGTGTGTTATATGTTTCACCTGACAACTAAACCCTCTATTGATTAACCATTACTTTGTTAGATAATCTCGTGTCATTGAAGCCACTGTAAAAATTAAACTCTTTAAAATGTTTTACCCTAGCAGCAGTGCGAAAATTGAAAACTTGTTCAGAATTACAGCCCGATTCCACAAAGAGGGTAGTTTTCAACAAACTGGTTTATGTTTGCGTGCTTTATATGCAATATAAAAACATATTAAAGCACTCCAACGCAAAGCTATCTGCCTGTGTTGTTGAACTGGGCTACCATTTCAGACTGCTTTTCCTTGGTGAAGAAACCTCTTATCTTGATGAAAGGTGAGGAGAAACTTGGTACAGTCTGATGCAAATTAGATGAGATTTGTAAAAGGGTTGAGCTTTAAAGGTGAGCTTGAGAAATTTGCTCTTCTGAGGCTTGATTCTGGTTTTGATTTTCTTGTTTTTCTTCCAGGTTAGTCAGCGTTCCCATAGGCATTGAAATGAATATATGACAGGAGATACTCTGGTGTTGTGGTGTAGCATGAGACACCATCGAATGTTTCACCTAAAATGTAGGGCTCTGCATTATTACTTGATGATCTGACATTCATTCTACTTTCAGTTAGGTTTGTTCTCTAGTAACTGTTAGTGTACAAACACAAATAAGACAGTATCAGATTAAATCCGATCTCCGTGTCCAGCAGTGATCATGTGCCTCACGGTAGCCAGTAAGTGCTACCTACAGAGAAACATTAGAAGGAACCATATAGTACTATCTTCACAATGTATTCTTCCAGCTTCTTATGACTTGACTTCCTGAGTCAGATGCAGCTTCTTTGCAACATTATCAATACATTTCCATTGAGACCTGTTAAGTAGAGTGCCATTCCCTCTTTTTCCTCCTGTATCTTAAAGGAGAACTAGGCTTTCTCCTACGTTTTTTCTTTAAACCTTTAAAAACATACTGTTTTAAACATGCACATGAATCTTCTTTACTGTTTTTATTCATCCCACACTGCTAATAGTGCGTTCTTCTGTGAGAATGTGAAAATAAGAACAGAAGAACTTTGTAACTTCACAAAAATAGTAATGGACGTTGAACTGAAGATCACTGTATATTTTATTCTCAAATCTGCATCCTGATGGGTTGAATCCATGATACATAGTCCTTTTTTCTCTTTTCCCCCACTACTTCTGTTGAGGAACAAATACCCGCTGAAGGGCTAAATGGTCGTCTGGTAATTTGGCGCTTATGTAGATCTTTATGTAATGAAATTACCGTGTAAAAGTTGGTTCTCACAGTAAAAGCATGTTCTTCTCTCCTTTCTGTGGCTGAAAGGGAAGGAGTAATTTACGTATTGTTGGCTTGTTGTCAAAGGCCAGAGAGGTATTGATAGCACAGGAATGGCCAGGTCAGTCAGACCCAGAGTCTGCTCACCGGGTGCTGATTCCAGCACTGTCAGTGGAAGATGCTATTTGAATGAGAGCAAATGAGTCTGGTGGCTCTCTGTGCTCCATTCCCCTCCTGCTCCTGCAGCATCTACTGCTGTTCCACTAGGGACGTCCGGGGGATATCTCTGCCGAATACTCTATGACCTGCTGTCCATGAGTTTGTTTAATCCTTTTTCCACTTGCTGATGTTGTTTCTCTCCACGGTGTCCTGGGGCAGCAAGCTCCAGAAGTTCAGTGTCTGCTGTGTGAAGAAGCATTTCATCTGCTTTAAATTTATACTGTACTAGTTCCATTAAGTGTCACTAGTCTGGTATTGTGGGATTTGATGAACAAGTTATGCTGGAAGTTCAATTGGTGCTGTTCATGCTGACATGTAATGTGTGGATGAAAGTAATAAAAATTAAGCAATACATTGGAATAATTATTTGTACCTACATTCTGACATGCACACAACTTTTGAGTAGTGGTGTAGTGAACTTCCTTCCTTCTCAGAAAGTTTTTAGATTTAGCATTTAGTATTTCACATTGTGTGTTTGGATTGTCTGGTTTTTTTGTAAATGTGGGAGAAAGCCTGTTGTAAGCCTGGCTTTAAATAGCTGGCTTGCTACCAAGGTTTGTGCATACCTGTCTTGGGAGGAAAAAGACTGACAAGATCTGAGTTTGGTTCATGGTTCAGTTCATGGAGCCATGGGCTTCCTTATTGCTTTTAGAAAATGTTTTTGTGGCTGAGCTTTTCATCTGCCAAGTGGAGTTAGCAGTAGCTTTTTTTGAGTCAGGACTCATAAAATTTACAGTATGTAGCAGATAAGTTGTGCAGAAATACTGCTACTGGAATTTTAGGAATTAAATTGCAAATGAAAGAAATCACAGATTTATGATAAATGTGTTAAATTACACAAATCTAAATACTGAACAAAGAACCTTATCAACTCTTCATGGTTTTTCACTTTCAGAGTCTGGTTGAATTTAAGTAACATGATGGTTATAAAATGAAGTTTGCATGGTATTGTCTGAACGCCAACACAAAGCAGATGGTGTCAACTTTTCTGTCCACCAGTTGGGCCGCTACATCTAAGCCACTATTTATAATAGTTTATGCCATTCTGATTTTTCTTCTGAGAAGAAAGTCCTGTGCATACCAGAGTGATGGGTTTATGATGTTGGCAAATATTTGCAAGATGATAAGCTGAGTCCGTCAGACTTCTGTTTGCTTGTGGCCTAATCCCAGTTTCAATCTAAACCTCCTCTGTTGAAAGATGCACTCTGTTCTTCTGCATGGCACTTTGAAAGCATTCGTGTGTTTGAATTTTTCAGTTTCTTCTCCTGGGTCCAGAGTCAGAAATTGCTAGCTGGCTGCTAGTCACAGCAGATATCAATGTTATGACTTGTAAGGAGATCTGCTGGAGCCAGAATATTCTGCATTCCTGTCTGTCACTGATCGTTTTCTGGTTAGAGAGCTCAACTGAGAAATAAAACATGAACTGCTAAAGCGATGGAGAAGATGAGGCTTTTGTGCTCCTTTTTGTTTCTGTTTCATGGCGAACTTTAAAGGGGGTCTATGAAGAAGTAAGGTGGAAAGGACTGTGATTTCCTGAATTTCTCCAAGGGTGTTTGTGCTGTGCTGGACCACTAAAGATCCACCTGAGCCAGTATACTGATTTCCCACGGTGGGCGGTAAGGCATGTTTAATGAAGATCGTAGGAACTTAGTTGAATAATGTTATAAACGGATTGTGAACGCTCAGCTCCCATCAGCTGGTGCTTACTGTCCTGAGCTGGAGACTGTTAGAAACACAGGGTTTGTGGATGCATCTCCTATCACTCAGCATTAACCCCTTTTTAATCTCTTTGCATTCTTGCCTCTGACGTCTTTTGCAATATCTTCTTCTGCTGGTTTGTGTGCTGCTACTGGCTACACCTTGCGCAGAGTCAGGCCTGTGGCAGAGGGGCAAAAAGAGGAGATCATTTGTTGGTGCTTGGCGCTGAGGGAATCTGGCACTGATGGCGTAGCTTTGGAGCAGAGGGAGAGGTTTAGGAGCCCTTAGCATGCCCTTAGCATCCACAGGTTTTGTAACCTCTGGCAGGTTTGGGGTTGAATTAGTTTCAAATCAAACAAATAGAAATCCGTAGCAAACCCTGAAAGAAGGATCTTCAGAGATTGCCAGTGAATATTGCAGAGAGAGAACTGTTAGGCAGTCCACTACAAATCTTTGTGAGTCCTCCCCTTAAGGCAATCTTAAAAATAGCATGAATGTTAGTCTGTTTTACTTAGTGCTCTTGGAAATGCCTTTGTAGCAAGTTTAATTTCATTCTCTTTCAACATGCTTCTTGGGTTTTCCCCACACAACTATTTGAGGTAGCAGCATCTTCTCTGTGGTCCACTTACTACTCTTGCAACAAAGCAAGTTTGTGTCTGCTTTTGGGGTACCACTTTTGCTTGGGAACAGTTTTCTGTAAATGGTGACAGGTGCTGGGGTGTTAATCTGATATTGGAGCTCTTAGGTGCTACTACTACACTCCTACTACTGCTAGCAAATGTGAGCTTAATCAAGTAGTAATTAAAAAGGTGTCGAAAGTGGTGATGGGGAGCCTCCATTAGAAACTCCTGAGTTCTTTAGGCATCTTAGTTTAAAAAGCCAAGTCAGCCGAAGTATAATTTTAAGCACACTTCGTAAGTACCGTTCATATGCTGCCGTTAAGAAAAGAAGAGACCGTGAGTAATGTGTTCGACAAAGACTCCAAAGTCTGCAGCCCCAGCTGAGTGTCCCCTGGGTAGGACAGTGTATGAGTTAAAGGAAAAAAGACGTTCCACTTCAAAAGGAAAAGCTTTCCAAACCAGAGAAGATTAAATATAAGTGAGATGTGGTCTGCATTTGCTCCCTTACGATTATAACCTTTGTGCTGTCCCCATGTATTTTTACCCGATAAAGACGGGATGTTTATTAACATTTGACATACGCTGTGATAACTAGTGTGCAGCAATCACCTGCTTTAGTTGTTCAGTTATGCAGCATTTTGTGAAAGACCGAACAAATGAAATCAGATATTTTTTTTCCCTTTTCAAAGGAAAAGAGGAGAAAAATATTTTTTTTTTTCTTTATATCTCAGAACTATAAAATTGTACATAGATTCTCAGAGGACGTACATGCCCTGAACATGCTTTTGCTCTAAACTAGTTTATTTTGGTTTGAAACGTTCACACCTTAGGAAAAAGGAAATGTAGTAGAGTTGTTGTGGGTTCCTGTGCCAAAAATGTGGTGCCTGAAAGAAAATTGTGTTCTTCTATTCATAACCGTTTTAATCTTTCTGCAGACCTACAACAGCTGTGCCAGACTGTGCTTAAACCAGGAAACAGTGTGTCTGGGAAGCACTGCTATGAAGACTGAAAATTGTGTGGCCAAAGTAAGTAAGAGAACGGCTTTGGTTTTGAGGGGTTTTTAGCAGATTGTTCATTGTTAATCAAAGAAAAGTTCTTGTTAAAAATTACAGTTAGAAAAAAATATTCAAACAGAAAGCAAGTGTTTTGGGTAGACTTTTCTGTCCTTCGGTGTAGAGATTTCAGACTTGCTGTTTTTCCTCTGTTGGAAATGATTACTTTAGTCCTGAGTTATCTAGGACTGAAGGGTTCATTCTGCTATACAAGTAATGGGCTTTTCTAGTGGGATGACCTGTGCCTGCTACGTAATTAGCTGTGGCAGCTTCAAATGATAAACGTCCCGATACATGCTAAAAATACTGCGTGAGAGCGCTTTGTGTCATGATTCCCTTTCTTCGCTACCAGAGGGGAGGTGCAAAAAGAGAGACCTTTTAATTAAAGTACAGTGAATGCTGTATTTAAGGGAATGGGAGGAGGGAGATTTGGCAGTCAGAATCATAAGAAAACAGATATGGTAGCCTGTCAAGACGAAAGTCGTTCCTTGAGAATTGTAGATGTGATTGGAAAAGATGAGGTGCCATTAGTCACCCTCTTTTCTTAAAATTCAAAGTAACTAGAGTAAACCAATGTACACGTATGGCTGTTTGTGAATGGAAAACATTTGAACCATGTTGCAATATGCAGAAAGGCCGTGCGAAGGATGCGTTTAGCCTTGTGTAAGCTTCGTATTTCCACTGAAAGGAAGTTTAGAATGGGCACGCAGGACCGATCAGTGCACGCAGCCATCTGTTACTGAAACCAGCTGGCATTTTGTTGCTCTTCTGTCACAGCAAACCTGACCGCTTGAAAGCCTGTTTTCTCTTTTGATGATTTATTCCTTGATCTTCTTGAAGTCCCTTTTTTTTTTTTTTTCCCCCCTACTTTGTATGGTTGCTAAAGGTGCCTTGTCCCTTTGGGGGCCACTTTTGTATTGACCTTTAAGATAATTTCCCAGCTAAATCTTTGCTGGGATTTTGCTGGTGAAATTTGGATGTCCCATTTCTTTTCATTTGTGTCAGGGAATTGGCCACCATAAAAGTTTGTGATGGTGCTTGCAGGTGGCTTAGTGCTCATAAACTGTACTTGACGTGCCAGGTTACCTTCCACTGGAGAAGTGCTTTTGAGAGAAGCTGCCAATCTTGGTACAAAGTGCTAAAGTTTAATACCAACACCTCCATTCTTAATTTAAGGTGGCTGGTATTGCACACTGCTTCCTAAGGCGCTTTATGATACGAAGTAGTGAAACTCTTTAAGCAAGGCAGCAGAGCAGCTCTGACTGAGTTACATCGTCATACAGCATCATTCTGATGCCATGAATTAGCTCACGGGAAGCTAACTGGAGTAAACCCACTCAACCCCCATCTGCTTTATAGCATCTTGTTTGACCTGATCGTCTTTCTAAGGAGTAAGGATGGGCAAGAACTGCAGCTGATTTAAGTGATGCCTCTTTTAAATGAAATGATGTACGTTTAACATCCTAATGCCCTAAATAATAAACTCTCCTAAAATCACGTGGGATCATGGTAAGAGGTGTGGGTACCGCTCAAGGCAGGAACAGGAAGACTTGTTTCATGTTATTGAGGATGAATCTGAACCATCATCCTGGAGATGAAAAAGTATATGTTTTTAAGTATTGTGTCTCTATATGCTGTAGGACAACATATATTTATATATCCTGTAGGACAATCTGCCATCTCATATATATATAAAAAAACATATATACACGTATACATGCGTATATACACACATATATGTATTTTTATATATATAAAAACCGAAGAATTTTTTCTGGGGCTATAATTCCTTTAGTACTAGCTTGCCTGGCTATTGTACTCCTTTCCTTTGCCTTCCCAGCTACAAACCAAAATGAGGTAGGTTCTGAGAAAGCTTGTCTTTCAAATTCCAGAAGCGTTGAAGCATTTGTAAGTCCTGTTAGCTAAATGCAGGTGGCTCAGTGATGGCATAGGCAAATGGCACGACTGTTAAATGTTCCCTGGGTGAAGGGCTTAAATGGGATTTAAAGAGTTCAGAGGCCTTCTCCTAGCCTTATGGCGTGGTGAGTTTTATCCTCCATGATTGATGTGTCTTACAGCCTTGGACTTTAACATGTTTTGTCAAGAGGGTGAACACTGGAAAGTATAACTGTGGGTTTCTTTATCTGCAGCACTTTTCCAAAAAATTGCAGGGGTTTCAATATTTATTTTTTTTAAACTGGCAGTGAAAGACAAAAAGGATTACTTTGGAAATCTTTTCTGATTCTGCAGTGTGGTATCAGCCCTGACTAGGAGCCACAGTCAGCATTATCACTTGCTTGTCAGATGCATTAGTCAGTCTGCAAGAGATGATGTTTTTTCTGAAAACAGAATTTCTGATTCTGCACCTACTTGCAAAGAAGAAAATTGTGCTCTGTTAAGACTGTATTAATGCTGTTTACTGATCGTGTGCTTGGTGTTTCTGAAGTTTGTTCAAAGAATGAAATGCAGTTTCCCTTGAGGCCACACACATCAATATTGAGATATCTTTTTTCAGACTGAAGCATTGTCCATCCATCAAGCTCTCCTGTGAACGAGTGCTTCTGTAGAGGACATCCAGATGTAAATTACCAAATTGACAGCTGGCATTCTTTCTAAAATGGAGGGAAAAGAAGTTTATAATAAACAGCTACGCATTTTCAAGTACGGAGAGTAGCATGGGGCCACTGTCTTTTTTTGACTGCTCAAGGAAGTCTGTGTTTGTTAGGAAACCTTGTCTGCCTGGTTTTCTATATGATTACATGCTGCCTGTGCAGCCCGGTGCACAGTGGCTTTTGCAAACCTATGGATTGTCTATTTTTATTCAGACATTTAAAAATAAAACTAGAATAGCATGTTCTGATGAATCTTTGTTTATTGTTCTTAGTCCTGCTTTTCTGGTATTTGTCCTCTGAAGCTCCATTGATGGGACTTGGGCATGTTTGGGTAGAAGCAAGAGGAACAGTAGAAATTGTTTCAAGTGTGTGCATGTTTCGACTGACGAGGTGGGATCTTAAATTAAAAATCATATATTGTGATGCACAGATGTCACCTGCATGATCTGTGTTCTGTACTGCGTCCAGCTCTGGGGCCCCCAGCACAAGACAGACATGGAGCTGCTCGGGTGGGTCCAGAGGAGGCCACAAAGTTGATCAGGGGGCTGGAGCACCTCCCATGTGAGGACAGGCTGAGAGAGTTGGGATTGTTCAGCCTGAAGAAGAGAAGGCTCTGGGGAGACCTTGGAGCAGCCTTCCAGTACTTCAAGGGGGCCTACAGGGAAGGTGGGGAGGGACTCTTTTACCAGGGAGTGCAGTGATAGGATGATGAATAACAGTGTCAAACTGAAAGAGGGGAGATTTAGATTAGATACTAGGAAGAGGTTCTTCACTGTAATGTGGTGAGACACTGGAACAGGTTGCTCAGAGAGGCTGTGGCTGCCCCCTCCCTGGCAGTGTTCAAGGCCAGGTTGGATGGGGCTTTGAGCAACCTGGTCTAGTGGAAGGTGTCCCTGCCCATGGCAGGGGGTTGGAACTAGGTGATCTTCAAGGTCCCTTCCAACCCAAATCATTCTGTGATCTGTAACGTCAGCTCTCTTCCATCCTCAGGAGTTTTTCTATTAATCTTTTGGCATCTTTTTGCCCATTGCTTTTGCGTCAACAAGTCTGGTGTGTGTTTAACCTAATGCCTTTAAAAAGGAAATGCAATGTCTAATTGTTTTTTTATATATGTGCATGTACACACGTGTGTGCATATATAAACTTCGTCCTGTTTGTCCCTTTAAAAAGCAAAAAATGTCTGCAAGAAGATTTTTTTTTTTTTTAATGATACTACTGGTGTGTAACCATGAGTGGACAGCTTCCTCAGGAATTGGTGCTAGGTGCTTAAATAAGGTAGAAATGTAGCATGAACCTGAGCTCCAAGGACAGGGTGTTTGGTTTTAATGAGGCTTATTGAAATCTGGCCAAATGAGCATCTGTTCCCATTGTTTGTTCCATATTTTGTAAGCCAGTATCTTCAGGCCAGATAACGGTGTTGGTGTGTGCTTCATCCTCAATTAGAGAGGGGCACAGTTAAAATCCCCTGGCATCTGGTATGTCACTAGGATTCTTGTGATGCTTCTGGGTGTGCAAACAAGTTTCTCTTATGTTCTGCACCCGGGACCATTTACTTTCTGTGGTGACCTTCACACTTTCTGTTTGCTGTGCGGCGAGGGATGCTCTGGTGTGTCTCCGGTCTCCTTGGCTGAGTCTTTGCTTGGATGGATTATATATATTCCTGTTTTCGAACAGAGGTCTTACCTTTTCGCCCTTTCATAATGTGGGCTGTGTTAGGTTTGAGTTTTGCTGTTAGCTTGGAGTCCATTAGATTTTGCTTTTCCCTAGATCATAGAAATACCCTTTTCATTCAAAGTACTCTTTTCTTTTCTAGCAAGAGACTGGTGTACAGCTGATCTCGCAGAGTTCTACAGTCAGTACCAATTTCCTGCATTCATTAGAATGGTCTTTACTGTTTATTAGCTCCTGCAGTCAGTTACAATTCGCCTGTATCTGCTGTATAAAGAAGTGTTCTCAGTTTCATTTTGCACATTGAATTCTTTCTTACATGTGTGAGAGAGAGGCACCCTATGGCATACCTGCCTGAGACAGCACAAAGACGCCTTCTAAATGGCATACAGCATCCCCAGGTTTCTTAGTCCTGAACTCAGCAGCAGCTGGAAGAGGTTCTCTGCCTCCATCTTTATCTAAGTGAAATGGGAGGGAGAAAAATACACTCAGGCACACCACCCTTGAAAAACTAGACTGCTGTTTCAGGCCATTCCTTTCTACCCACATGTGATAACTGGTCCTACTTTTTAAGGTCTCAGCAAACCAAGGGACTTCTGAAGGTCTTTTATGCATGTTGTGTTTTCTGGGGAATCTTTGATCGCTGTTCATTGTACCTTTAAATGTGCATGCTGCAGTGGTTAACGGTATTGA